AGGGCAGTTCACTTACAGCTTTCTCTACCGCCAAGTTCCTGCAGCACAGGCTCTTGCTAATCTCACAGCGGCAGTTCGGGCACGTGGCCTGCTCTTCCTTCAGCCGTGCATCCGCCAGCAGGTGGATGAAGCAGCCGGCACACATCAGGTGCCCGTTTGTACACTGACACAGAAGCTTGCTTTAATCAAAAGACTGCAAACAGTGCATCCAATCGTTTCAGTTCTGATAAGTAAAAAGTATTGGTACTTTTTGTTGTTTAACCATTTTGCAGCAGCTATATGACTCTGCATGACATGATTTCACACAAAACACTGCTTAAAAGTATAAAATATATGAAGATGAAAAGGTATAGCTACTCTGATCTTAATAAGTATCTAAACTTATAATCACAGAATTGTCAGAATTGACAGAACTGTCTTAATTCCATGGAGCAAACTGCCTGGGCCCCGAACACTGAGGAGGCCCCTGATGGATGATTTCTTAGGTGATCAAAATGCTAAAATTTCACTAAAACCTCTAGTAGGCACCATGCAGCAACACCTCAGGAAACCCCAATAAAGACACCCAACCTTGCTAGCATGTCTGTGAGACATGAAGACAGGAAGTCAAAAGAGGAATAGCAAATAAGAAGAGGAAGAAAAGATGAAACAAGACAGCAGCAAGTAGTGGAAATGACATGGAATAAGGATGACAACTTCCAAAACATGTAACAGCAAAGAAGCTAGAGGAATTGGAGCTCAGGAATAGGAACATAATGTTAATAATTTAGATCTCTGTGTAGATTTAGGGATTTTCACAGCAGTTCCTCAAATTACCAATAGCTCAGCTTTTTAGGCTATATACAGGTAGCTCAACGTTTGCTAAGTTAGCTAATAACTAATAACTGAATATAAGACCTTTTTTTGCAGCAGTTATCCTAACTGGTAAGCTTGCTCATCATTTTTCAGAGCGTAACAGCCTAGAGCATGGATTAGCGATGTTATTTGTTGTACCTGAAAGCAGGGTTGTCTGGATTAGCCATAACTAAAGATTATATTAAGATACAAATATTGTTGCTATTAATTACAATATATGTATAACTGTTAGATTAATCAAGCAAATAATGTTAATTAATAACTAAGTAATTAAATTGCCACTGTTAGTAACACAAAAATTTACCAAAGTAGCATTAATTATTTTTTTATTTTTTTGCCAGGCCCCCCACGCTGTTTAACGTGACCTCTACATTGTTGACATCGGCACACTATGGACTTGTCCTTGACTCACAAGGCTGAAACAGGATCATCTTTAACATTCTTTGTATTTTACTTTTCTCAACAGTGTATAAGAGGGATTGTTAAGAGCTGAGAGGATTTGTGATGAATGATACAAGGCAATTAACTGATTCATCCTATCAATGTTCAAATATAAAAAGATTCAGTGATTAAAGAATATTTAATAACTTTGTAAACACCCAAAAATACACAAATTAAACCTAAATATGTAGGACACTCTGCAGATTTTTTTTAATGTGTTCTTCTTTTTTAAGACTTATGAACAATAAAATAGGTTTTATGCTTTTATTTTGAAAATAATATTACAAAAACACTACCAAGTTCATCTGAATAGATAAGCTAAAAATCATAAAAGGGAACACTGTGAAAACTCCAGTGTTGCTTTTTTCTAAGCACAAAGAATCTACAAATTTCTCTGTGAATAAACATCTGTTTAACTTTGAAAAAAAAAAAGATAAAAGAAGTAGTGATAAAAACATGTTCTTGGACAGATCAGTCGAAAATACAAAGGATGCATTTTGTGTTTAATAATATTACCTTGGGATGTGGTGTATGTTGCACATAGTTTATAGACAATAAAAGCACACTTGAGTGTTTTAAACAAACACTGCATTCTGAAACTTTGGGCCTCTCCGAGCTTAACAGTGCTGTAAAGTGGCTCACTGACGTCAGTTGCTTGGAAGAAAGACCCACTGTGGGGTTAGTAGGTGTGCAATAATGTTTAAAGTGTTTAACGCCTGTGTTTTTGACCAGTTCTATAAGAATGTCCTAATTTAAAGGAATACAGGAGGAACATTCTTGGGGGAGGGGTATTTAAGACCTCCTCACTGATTGGCTTAAGGCGATCATGTGATGCTGAATTGCCATGTTTACCCCTGGGCTGAACAGCTGGTCAGCTCACAGCAGTGCTGCCAGGTTCTCGATTTTCCTACTCGATCGGTCTACATGTAAACTGCTGCCATGGGATGATTTTTTATTCCACAGCTTCAGGGTGTAAATTAATTCACATTCCTAATTCTAAACCCCTACATTTCCCAGTAATTTGGTGTACTCTAATTCCTAGCTGGTCTTTATTCATGACAATATGAACATGGAAAAAATAACTATTTATGAAATTATAAAAAGAAATATAACACTTAATTCTGCCTAATTATAATTGTATTATAATTTGAATATTACAATACATTTTGCAATGACAGCCATGATGGACATTCAAAGCTATGCATAGGGGTTTAAAATTGGATAGTTTTTGGGATAGGTTTCAACACATTGGACTGCTTTAGTCACAGACCTGGCAACCCTGTCACTGTTACACATCCTCAGATAAAACAAAATCAAAGCAATCACCAAACTACATGAACAAATGAACAAAGTATTGTGTCCGTGTGTGTTTGTCTGTTTTTGAAAGACATCAGCAGGTCAGACTACGCTTAAAATCACATTAAACTACCTTTCCCTTCCTGATTGTTTGTCACCACATATACACACAATCAACTATCACACATCTAATGTACATCTAATGCTAAAAAACAACCACCTATACAACCTATAGGGATTTAAGCGGTCTGTGTAGTTCAAAAACACACTATAGAAAGCTTCAATTTTATTTTTGTTTGTTTGTTTGTTTGTTTGAGGTATTGCATTATAAATGAGGGAATTATTTCAAGGGCCCTGAGCAGACAGGAGGCCCAACAGGACCCTATCATAGGAAAACTGTCCCTGGCAGAGAGCCCAGTGCAATAACCTGTTACAGGGCCCAAAATTCCTCCTGCTATGTCTGGCTCATGTAGCGACTGCACATCTGCAAATATAATGTGAGCATGTAATAATAACAATAACAATAACACTGGTGTGGCTGTGTCAGTGATCACCTGGTAAACCGAGGCTTTGGGTAGGTCCAGGCACACGGTGCAGCACAGGACGGAATAGAGGCGCTCCTCGAGCTTACCCGCTTCGCCCTCCTGCAGCCGCACGCGCTTTTTGGGCGGCGCGTCCGGATCTGTCTCCGGACCAGAACCGGAACCGGAACCGGAACCCTCTCTCCGCATGCCCGATTCTTCCTGAATCCCGGATAAACCCGCACCTGCAGCCACGGCCTCAGGCCCGACACCCAATCCGGCTGAGGACGAGCCTGGAGCGGCCGCCACCTCGCCTCGCTCTTCCATCGAAGACATCCGCGTCCGACCGAGACCAGGCGCACACGCAGGATTAGCACTCACTGTGGAAGTGTGCACTTACTGAGCAGCCTACAACGCGTTCACCTGTGTACAGACTGTGTATTCGTAAATAATAAGCTCCGATTCATATGTGAGTCCCTGACAAAAAGTGGAACCACTTCGGAGGAAAGTAAACACCACAGACTATATGTCGGGCTGTGAAGTGCAGATGTGATGGCTTACTGAAGTTCCTCGTGGATATGAATATGCGAAAATGTTTAGTAGATGTAGCTAGCTGGGAAACACTGCTTTCCCCCTGCATCGACAAAACTAGTCTTGTTGTTGGTTCTCGCCAGCTGGTGACTCCGTTATTCGGCTGTGACAGTGCGACCTGGCCGGGCTAGCCCTCTCCGCGTCCTCTCTGCTTTCCGCACAGCACACACACACACACACTCACACACACTCACTCATTCACTCACTCACACACACACACTTTCAGGAGAGTTTCAGGTCTCACCTGAAACCCTTAAACCTGCGCTGTTTGCTATCGTCTTTTCGATAGTTCGTCCCTAGCTCTACACTGCCATCTTTGTTTTTTTTCTGTCACCCCCTCCCCTCCACCGTCCCCTCGCCTCGTCCCGTCCTGATTCCACCAATCAGAGGCGCTCTTACACAAACCGGGCGGTACTAATAGCCAATCCCGTGTCCGGTTAATAGTTGTTTACTGAGTGTTTTGCCCATAGGTGTCATGGTTGGTGTCTGTCAGTCCTTCGCGTGCTCTCTGATTGGCTGCGGGACATGCCCGTGTTTCATCAGATGACTGTCAATATTACAGCTTCACTATGGGGGTATTTTAAAGAGGACTTGTTCGCGCATGCGCAGCGGCCTCCTGCAGGTCAGCTTCAGTAAGGTGACCACAGACCAGAAACCGAGATGTATGCGACAAAATGGCAGCGTTAACGACCCTTCTGGTCTGTTATGCTATTAACGAAAATAACTTGATAGCAAGCTGCTTTTCTATAAGGCAGGGGTTTTCAAACTTTTTTTTTTCCTAGCCAGAGATCCCTTCCAATGTAAAAAGAAAATTGCCATAACATAATACTACAAATATTACACATCTGACAAATATGTCTAATTAATAAATATGTACGTATTTATTTATTTATTATAGTCAGGACAGGTTTTTATTACTAAACCTTTCACCTACAGTACCTACAGAACCTGAACCCAAACCAGTTACACTGTGTTAAAATTCAAAACATCATATTAAAAGCATTTTTCCTTGTTACATTAAAATTATGGTTAGATTCAAGTTGACATCATTTATGAAGTGAAGTGGTGTGTGGCCAAGTATGGTGACCCATACTCGGAATTTGTGCTCTGCATTTAACCCATCCAAGTGCACAGACACAGTAGTGAACACACACCCGAAGCAGTGGGCAGCCTTTTTTTGATGCGGCGCCCGGGGAGCAGTTGGGGGTTCGCTGCCTTGCTCAAGGGTCTCACGTCAGTTGTGGTATTGAGGGTGGAAGAGAGCGCTGGTCATTCACTCCCCCCACCTACAATCCCTGCCGGACCTGAGACTCGAACCCACGACCTTCAGGTTCATGTTACAAGTTCAGGTTCTTTGGGTTACAAGTCCGACTCTCTAACCATTAGGCCACAACTGCCCCATTTCTTGAGATTAAAACCATGCAGTCAAAGTGACCAATCAATTAGACAACTTCGAAATTAGTTCATAGTGATCTTCATCACCATAGTGATAAATAAAAATAAATAAAAATAAAATCATAGCTAGATTTGTAACTATCATTATGAGAACCAAAGATAAGCATTAAAGGATGGTAAATGTAACATGATCTTTTATTTCTTCTCTCACTTGCTCTCTTTAAATCATATAAAATATATTACAACACAAGTGAGTGTGTATCTTCACAATAACAGCATGGTTTCTGCAGCTTACTGTATTTCAGTCATTATTTGTCTGTCGTGGAATGAAACACGAGAGTGTCCCACTGAGTAACTGCTTCTGTCCAAAGACGTGGTCTAACAAGCTCAACTAGCCTAGGCATGACAACTGACAGTCTATCCTGTATATCCTGTAGCTTCCATGATTTGTGTGTGTGTGTATGTGTGTGTGTGGGTGTGTGGGTGGGTGTGTGTCACATAACACAATAGAGAGGATGGTTTAGGGTTCCTGGGTGTAACTGAAAGTGTCTTTAGTTAAATGACTAAATGCATTTAACTTCTCAAATGTTGCAAAAAGTCTTGTTTCTAATCTTTTTTTTTTTTAAACTTACATAAAATCAAATAGGTTACCACTTATTCCAGTTTTTTGAATGATAATGTTAAAAATAATAATGTTAGAAATGACAATATTACAAGGATCTAAATTCAAATCTGCATCTGGATTTCGGTAAAGCTGCTTTGTGACCATGCCTATTGTTAAAAGTGCTGAATAAATAAAATTTTATTGAAAGTGAACTGAATTGAACAAGTGCATTAGCAGCAGGCTTTTCAGCTCAAAAATTAACAATGAAACACTTAGCACTTAACATGACAGTTAAATGTGTGTGTTTGAAGCGATATCTGTTAAAGATAATTGACACAAAGGATTATTATAAGTACATTTACAGTTTGTTGCATTATTTTGTGAATCAGTGTCAGACCCTCAAGTAAGACACTTTGAACTTGTTGGTGGTTTAATAATAGTTTAATAACAGCATACCAATATGGTAATAAGAAATGAATTTTAAAAAACTGGATATGTGTAGAAATATGAGTAAAATGCTTTCTTATCAGCCTGGTGATTTATAGAAATCACATTTTAATACATATATTAAAAGACTGAAAATTAAGTATTACAGTCCTATAGCCCCAAAAATCTCAGACTGAAGGTACTGATAGTATTGAATACACTGAATGTATTTGAATACACGTTATTCTGATTAAGCGAGAAATCAGCTGCTGATCATTTGTGTCCTCTGCATTTTGCTTACCAAGCCTTACTGTATATGATTTTTAAATTATGATCCAATTGCTACACTGGAGATCAGCCACACATTTTTGCATGAAATTACTAATAAATATTCTCTTGTTGATAAAATATTTATCAACATTACATCAAACAAAAAATTCTTGGGAAGTACCATTGACTATAAGATTGTGTTAAAGCAGATCAAGAGGCATAGCAATGATGCTGTTTCTTAGTTTTTGCAACAAGACATGTTTTACTTGTTTGGTCAGTGTGGTGTTTGTAGAGAGCTAACTTTACAGAAAAAGCCTAAAAGGTATGTAATATAATTTAAAAGGCAAATTCTACCAATTTCTATTAGATTGTTATGACTTCACTTTAACGGTTATGTAAAACATCCACTGCCATATCTTTTGCAACAGCACATTTTCTTTGAAGATTTTAAAGATTCTTTAAAGATTAAAGATTAATTATACCAAAATTTTCCCATTAATTATTCCAAATTGTAGCAAGCAATATTCCTAACTAAGTGTAATGTTCAAACCAGTAATACAAAATGTCTCATTTGTTATTTTCACAGAACTCTTATGACCTTTATTAATACAAAATAACGGATATATGGGAAAATACCATTTGTTACAGATATACAATATCACAATACTGATTTGGAAGAAGGAAAGAGGAATCCCAGAGTTCAGTTACAGGGATACGGGTCATCTGTTCTCACCAGCCAGGCAGCTGAAGTGCCTAAAATGGCTGCCTTTTGTCCACACAGTCATTGGCACTCAAGTTTCACACACACCAAGCCCCACCTCCACTATCTGGATTCCTACAGTGGTGGCTTTAAAGTGCTTCTTACCTTTTGAGGGACTTTCATGATCTTTTGTAGCTTCATGTATATTCATTAAAAGGAAGCAGAGAGAGGATGTGTACAGCTTTCACATATTTCATTCATTCTCTTGCTCTTTCTCATAGCATAACCCAACTAAATTTATCCAAATATACAAAGTAGTTTATTCATTTTATACCAAAGATACCAGGTTCTACAACTGAGTGGAGGACCACCAGAGTGGTTTGCTTCCAAGCTAGCGGAGTATTCCCATTTGCTCATTTCTTTGCAAAGTACAAATAGCAAAGTTCTCACCTCGTGACTGTGACCCCATGTGGGTAGCCTATAAAAGATCCATGCTATGAATGAGAATCACTAGTGTTGATACTGCTCTATACTGGGAATCACTCAAGTGCTGATGCTGTCCTTTAGACTATCATAAGGATGAGAATCACTCACTGTTCTGAGACTGTTTTCAACTGAAGATAAAAAGGATTAAAATTATGATATTGTTCTTCACTGAGGATAACAACTGCTCATGGTGCTGACCTTTATTCATGATAAGATTTGCTTAACATTCTGATACTGCACTCTATTCAGGGTGAGACTCACTCAAATACACCACAGAACACAAGGGGTGCAATTAAGCAACACTTAATTTGTAGTATCTGGTGAAGGAACTCTTTCTTTACCTTCGTTCAAGTATGCTTGCACAATAACTTTCTTTACACAATGGGCTAACCTGTTTTTAGAGTGGGGTTCCTTTATGGTGCTCCCCATAGCACACAAACAGCTGCTTGTTAACTTGCCAGCTAACAGTCATTTCCACATAATGCTGGAGAGCCCTCACTGGACACAGGGCTGGTGTGGGCACGTTCTCATCTTCAAGAGCATGCAAGAGCATGCATGCTGACTGAATGCGCATGCAATTTGCGGACCAGCATGGACGTATTGATAGCCAGCAAAGCTGTCTTAAAGTACAAAAACACTTTATATGCGTGTGCTACTTTGGTTCATATGGCAAGCTGCACAAACTACTTTGCACCACGTCCAGGTCCCACTGTTTTTCCATGAGGTTTGCAGATGTCCTACATCTTTAAGAAAGGTTTGACTAGTTTGTGTGTTCTTTCCAACCAACCGTCAATCTGTCCCCAGTGCCCAGACAGTTCTGCTACATACACCTTTAGGGTAGTTACAGAAAGAGGCACTTCTAGCCAATGCTTCAAAAAAAAAAAAAAACCACAATAGCATCTGGTGCAAGATAAGGGGTTTATGTCCAGCATACAACCAGCATGTAGATGGAGCATGAGTACTCAATGTGTCTCAGCCTTTGTGAACGTGCCAATATGCTGGGGCCAATTCAATCATTGTAAGACAGGTGATTTACTGTGTCACAGTGACCCATTCATCTGGGACCACAGGTTTGGTCTGATAGGTAGCAGGCACGCAGTGCCTGTGAATAATACTGACATTTGGAACCATGGCCTGTTCGGCCAGTGTTTGCCAATCCCTGCAAGACAGTATCTACTATCTGATTGCAATGACTCAGTAGGTAGGCAGTTCTTAAGACAGAAAATGTGCATCAGTCCACTTCCAGAGGTTGCTAGCTCATCTCGACATCATTTGCAATTTTGCACCCCATTCATGGTTGAGGTAAAACACCACTGTGGTGTTGTCAGTTTCCACTAGCATGTGGCACCCTTCGAGGTTCCTGAAGCAGCTAGGAGAAATATGTCATATGTCAAATATGCAAGGCAGTTAGGATTTAGTTTCACTGAATTCTACATTTCATTACTCTGCTACATTGCCAACAGATCTTGCATTTTTTTTCTCATGCCCTTTGCCAACTCTTCTTTATTCCAATGATGTAACTCACTCTTCCCCTTCCAGAGGGCTTCTGTTCCTGCTGGAACAATGCAACAAAGGATAGCTTGCCACAGGCATGTCTGCTACCATGTCAGCATCAGAGGAACGCTGAATAGCCCAGCAGTGTTTATACAGCCTGCAAGCTTCACACATTGTTACTGGCATTGTGCTGCAGTTAGGGCAATGCTCTTTAGGTGCTTCTTGAATATACTCCTTTCCCAAACAATTTGGGGATTGCTTATTTTCCATCATCCAATTCCACTGGGGCTGGGCAGAACCATCCTGCTCTGAAATACAAGAGGCTGGGAAAGTTATGAATTTATGACTGAAGAAAATTATTAAATTATTTACTCTGCACACTGCTATACTCCAACAAAAACAATAGGCCATATGTCTGTTCTAAGGACAAAGTCAAAGATGGGTAGAACAGTAATACTTCCAACAGCAGAATTACCATCACCCAAGTTGTGGAGAACTTGTGCAGAAGCTGCAACAGTGCAGAGCTAAGAGTAACAAAATTAGCAAGAAACAAAGATAGAGCACTATACTTAGCATCTTGAATCCACTTGTTCAACTCCTCAGTAAGACGAGAACAGGAAAGGGGATGAACAAAAATTAGCAGGGACTTTTTATATGTTACTCATGGGAAACTCTCACAAGGTGACACCTTTGCTATAGATACTCAGCCAGGAAATGAGCAAAGGGGGGAAACTCCACTAAATCCAAAGGAAACCACCCTGGGGGTCCAGAAAGAATTAATTAAAACTTGGTTTATTTCTTTATATGTGTGATTACCATGGAAAGGAATTTTGCTGTTTCCCTGTAATAAGAAAAGAAGGGAACACATCTTTACTTATAAACTCACTCATAATGTAAGTTACTTTAATAATGGGTAGTTGTATTAATTCAAAACAACAACCATTACACACTAACAGTAATGGACTTATGACACAGACAAGCAACTGTCATGCTGCAGTTGTTCTGATTTAGTTGTATCCAAT